CTTTGATGGCTAAGCAACCTAATCAATAGATTTTTCAGCCAAAGTCATTCAGGGATAAAGTCAAGCCGCCTGGATTATGCTGTACCTACTGCGGATATAATGGACATAGAGTTGATAAATGCTTTCAACTTCATGGATATCCTCCTGGGTGGACTGGACCAAAGGGAAAGAGGAATCTTACTACTGCACATGCTGTACTCATGACTCAAGAGACTTCTAATCAGAATGGTGATGAGCAACAGAAGTTTTCGTTTACTCCAGAGGAATTTCAAAGATTAATGGCACTTGCTAATTCCATTCCATCAGATTCTTCTACCCAGAACATCACTACATCACCAGTTGTTAATCATGTCTCTAGATCTGCATCTGCATTCAAACTTTCTGATAGACCTCACCCTAAATCATATTCTTCTTCATATGGTCCTGCTATTTCCGAATTGCACTCCAATTTCACTTGGATCCTTGACACCAGTGCAACAGATCATATGATCTGTTCACAGCTTTTATATCATTCGTCACCTAGATCTATCGGTGCATCTATAACACTTCCTAATGGCATTACAGCTCCTGCATCACTCATTGGTACTGTGTGTCTCTCCAATTCTTTACTACTGCATAATGTCTTATGTGTGCCCACTTTTTCTTTCAATCTATTATCCGTCTCAAAACTTGCCAGACTTTCTAACCTTCGTCTCATATTTACTGCTTCTCCTTGCATTTTACAAGATCACCTAATGAGGAAGATGATTGGGATTGCATTTGAGAAAGATGGGCTTTACCACTTGATTCGGACTTCATCAAAAACTCAACCATCAAAGACTCAGTCCTATTCTTTTAACTCTGCATTTTCTGTTTCAGCCTTTGCACAAAAAAAATCAGATATCTGGCATTATAGGTTAGGACATGTATCCAATTCCAAATTGGCTTCCCTCAAACACATTGAACCTTCCATTACTCTTGACTGTACAAGCGTTTGTGATATATGTCCCTTAGCAAAGCAAAGGAAAATCCCTTTCTCTGTATCGCAAAGTAATTCAAATAAAAAATTTGAGTTGATCCATTGTGACATTTGGGGTCCTTTTGGTACCATCTCTTATTCTGGTTTTAAATATTTTTTGACAATTGTAGATGATTTTACACGATGTACGTGGGTATACATGATGAAAACAAAATCCGATGTACCATCCTCTATCAAATTTTTTTGTAAAATGGTGGAAAACCAGCACTCTTCCTCTGTCAAAGTCATAAGGACTGATAATGGCCCGGAATTTTTCTTACAGAATTTTACAATGAACATAGCATCATCCATCAGAAAAGTTGTATCGAAACTCCCCAACAAAATGGAGTTATAGAGAGGAAACACCAGCACCTGTTAAGTTCAGCTAGGGCCCTGATGTTCCAAGCCAATCTGCCCCTTCGTTTTTGGAGTGATTGTGTTCTCACTGCATCCCACATTATTAACAGAATTCCTATCCCTCTCCTCCAAAATAAGACCCCATTTGAAATGCTTTTTGACAAACTACCCTACCTTTCACATCTCAAAGTGTTTGGCTGCCTCTGTTTTACTTCCACATTGACAGCACATAGACAAAAGTTCGATCCTAGAGCAATCAAGTGCATTTTCTTAGGGTATCCTCCTGATATCAAAGGATACAAACTTTTGGACTTAAGTACCAATAGAATCATAGTTTCTAGAAATGTTATTTTTTATGAAACTATTTTTCCATTTAGAGTGCTTCCTGTGACTTCTGAACCTCACTCATTTCTTTTTCCCTCCTCAGAATATTTCCCAGATTCTTCCAGTCCTCCTCACTTTCCTTTGGATCACATCACATCCCATCCTCTTCATCATCCCCTAATTCCCCTCCTTCTCCTCTTGGACCTGCACCACATACTGCTCAGGTTTTCCCTAATTCCCCTTTACACACTAGTGAATCACAACCTCAGATTTCTGAGTCTCTCAGAAAGTCCAGCAGAATCAAACATACCCCAGGTTATCTGCAGGACTACTATTGTGGTACTGCCACTTCTTCTCAATTTGCTCCTCCAGTCTCTGACTCATCTGGTTGTCCTTCCATCCCAGGTACTCTTTATCCTATTCATCATTTTATTTCACCCTCCAGGTTATCTGCATCCCATCATACCTTTTTGGCATCCATTTCTAATTCTTCTGAACCTCGGTCATTTAAACAAGCATCTCAACTACCTGAGTGGCAAGTTGCCATGAAAAGTGAAATTCTTGCTCTGGAGTTAAATAAAACTTGGGAGCTTGTCCCCCTTCCTGCTAACAAAAAGACCATTGGTTGTAAATAGGTCTTCAAGATTAAATATAGGGCTGATGGATCGATTGATAGACATAAAGCTCGGCTAGTGGCGAAGGGCTATACTCAACAAGAGGGTTTGGACTTCTTTGATACTTTCTCACCTGTGGCAAAAATCACCTCCATTCGCCTTTTACTTGCTGTGGCTGCAACTCGTCATTGGCATCTCCATCAGCTAGACGTCAATAATGTATTCTTGCACGGAGATTTACATGAAGAGGTCTACATGGAATTACCTCCTGGTTTGGCTGCAACAGGTGACAGGATGGTTTGTAAACTTCTGAAGAGTTTATATGGTCTAAAGCAGGCTTCCAGTCAGTGGTTTGCTAAGCTATCTAGTGCCCTCCTTCACTATGGCTTTGTCCAAGGCGCCTCTGATTGCTCCCTATTCATCAAGAAAACTGACCACTCCTTTATTGCTTTGCTAATCTATGTGGATGATGTCCTATTGGCAAGTGACTGCATCCTGGAAATTCAGAGTTTGAAAACTTTTTTACACGACAAATTCACCATTAAAGACTCAGGGCAGCTGAAATACTTTCTTGGTTTGGAGGTTGCACGGTCCAAATCTGGTATCTCCTTATGCAAGCGGAAATATGCCCTTGATATCCTCCAGGACAGTGGTTTAGCTGGCTCAAAGCCAGCTACTTTTCCCATGGAATCCAATCTCAAGTTATCTGCCATGATACGGAATTGTATGATGATCCTTCTGGTTATCGAAGACTTGTTGGTAGATTATTGTACTTAACTATCACAAGGCCCGACTTAGCCTATTCTGTCCAGGTGCTTAGTCAATTTTTTGCTACCCCTGCTGTTACTCATCATAAAGCTGCACTTCGAGTATTGAGATATCTAAAAGCTACACCAGGTCAAGGACTCTTCTTCCCCTCTTCCTTAGATTTGTAATTGAAGGCTTTCTCCGATAGTGATTGGGCGGGTTGTGTCGATACTCGGCGAAGTGTCACTGGTTTTGCGATATTTCTTGGTCGCTCACTGATTTCATGGAAATCAAAGAAACAGATCACCATCAGTCGTTCATCAGCAGAGGCGGAGTATCAGACACTTGTGACAACTACTTGTGAAATTCAATGGCTCCTTTAC